CCCAGACCCTTATTCATACCCTCCCTTTCAATAAAATTTATCCCACCCCTTGGACCTTCGCGAGGTCTTGCATGCTTCTGGTATCGATTCTAATAATAAGTCAAATTACTCTCGCATTTTGATTGGTTCTCACCTATAATCTATTGGAGGACAAACGCATGTATGACGTCATTATCGTTTCTGTTTTTGTTCCTCTGTTATATAAAACAAGTAGATTCCATGTTTGCCGGGCGTCTGTTTAGTAACCGATCACAGATGACGTCAAAATGTGGTAAAAATATCAGTGACACACTCGGCTATTGCCTTGTGTACCACCTTTTAGTTCTTACCACATTTTGACGTCATCTGAGATCTATTACTGAACAGACGCACGGTAACATGGAATCTACTTGCCCTACTTACACAGTCCACAACTTCTCTTGCAATAGACGTTCATGTAGGCTGGATTTAACCTGCATTGTTGTCTTCGAGCCCAAGAAGAACAATACCGGTTGTAATCTACGCATACTGTTGGAATGCAAAACACGGAAAGAGTTAGTCGCATATAGTCCCAAAATTAAAGCTGCCGCGTCCTTTTGAGGAGCCTAGCAGAGTGGTTAGGGCAGCGGACTTCAAATCCGGAGGTCGCGGGTTCCAGTCCCGCTCTGACCACTTAGCTGGAGTTGTTTCTCGGTAAAACCTAGTTCAACCACTTGGCGAAGCTTGTTCATAACATATGGTCTGTCCCCGCTAGTTGGGATTTGTAAGCATATCATGTTTACTTGATATATTTGTTTCATTCAGTTTAAGTGGCATGCCTTTGAACTAGCTATGAGTAGCTAAGCGCATTGACCATTATTAACAACAACATTTGAACATTTTTTTTTTTTTTTGAAAGTCGTATCCAGTCGTTTCGTTCCTTCGTCTATTCTCACGGTCTCCGCTCACCTTGCGTTTTAGCATCCAATCATTCCTCGACCAAATCATTACATAAATAGCGACTTGGGAGCTACCAAACTGTAATCACGTGCTGAGAAATTGCCAGTTACTGCAGCAGCAACTGCAATGAGCTTCTGATTTCATTGGCTCCACAGGGGCATGGTTTCTATTGCTCTCTCAGCTCGTGCTATAAGGCCTCGTTCTACCTTCAGGTGTTAGCCCTTTCATTACAGAATTATTATAATGGACGGACTGGGATGTTAGCACAATCAATAAACACGATGATGTCAAAATAAACCAAGAAAAAAATGCCTCTGTCAGTTTCCTTTTCTGAGATCCGAAGTTGCAAATAAGGAAAAAAAAAACACCGATATATTTACCAGTCTGTCGTCGCTTTCTTTTCTTTGCAGCACAACCGTACATCTTGTTGGTTTGCTCAGCATCCAGTGCGCTAAGGGCCTTGTAAGGCGTTTTCCCATTCAAAGGATGGAGCGCTCGTAGAGTTGGCTGGCCATTCTTAGAGAAGGCGTTAAACGGATAGTGCATGATGGAGCCGTAGTCATAAGGTAAACCAAGTGAGTCGATTTGATCTCGTCCATACTTGGCAAATGCGCTGTCGAAACCTTGAACGAGAGAAAAGTCTAGTCAACCTCTGAACATATCCACGCTGCCGTAGCGCATGCCCGTTAATGTAGCATGTGGCGACAAGGAGAATTTTTACTTCCGCTGGATGCTAGTCTATANATGTCGTTGAGATGTCCTCTTCACAAACCTAATGCACGTTTTGCTTTCCCACTCCTTCATGGCTGACTGTATGGCATTCAATGCCTCAGGCATATTCTCTGTTTGAAGGGAGTAGAAAAAAATTTAAGGCACATAGAGCAGGAGAGACTAAAATAAACTTAAGACAGACATCTTAATCCAGACTGCTTTTCAATATGCGCAATACTCTTCCATTCTTAATATTTTAATTTTTGTCCCCGCTAAAGTACGCAAGCATGCTGTCACAATTATCAGTTTTTTCGCGCCACAGTGCGCCGCGTCCGTCACAGGCTCCAGTTATTTCCCGCCAAAATTTACGTCCGCGCCGTCCGCAACCTCAGGATTTCATCTGTTTTCCTCCAAAATGTGCCGCGTCCGTCAGATTTTTCAGTCATTTCCCGCCAAAATATACCGCGCCCTTCACAGCTTTCAGCTACCGTATTTTAAAAAATTCAATTCCAAATTTGTACATGTCTCTACAAGAAATCACAACCTATTACCTAGTAAATAACATCACTACTTACGTAAACTGCAGTCAATCTCGTAAGGTATGATTGCGTTAGGCCATCGGATACGGCTGTTACTACCTGCTGCTCTGCTGACATTGCCTCTAATGTCACCATAAATATCGATATTCATCAATTGCTCTTGAGTTAACTCGATATCTCCTTCAAACACATTATCCGGCAGGGGTGGACTGGAGAAGACTGCAATACGATGAAAAAATGTGGAATTTTAAGAAACTGGAAATAGCGCGCAAGTTTACAAAGCGTGATAATATGCAAGCACGAGGGAAATTTTCCCGAGTGGGTTAAAGCGAGAAGATTGAGAATTTTAATTTTAGGTATGAGTACAAATAAAGTTGTTGTTGTTTATTTAGCATTATGACTTGGCTGAAAATCTACCACTTGTATCTGTTGGATTATTTTGGGGTGCCTTTTTAAAAGAAACAAAGAAGAAAGCAACTGAAGAAGAAGAAGTAGAGGAAGCCCAGAAAATACAATGATGCTTCGATATGGCGTCTGCAGTTTTCTTTTAATTCGGTGGAAAATATTCAGTGTTATCGATCGTAAAAGGAAACAACAACAAGGCCTCCACATTTTCCATGGTCTGCGCTCTTATAGATTGTGGAAATAACCCGTAAAACGTCAAAACTTTGCAATGACTGAAATCACTTGCCTGCGGCTCGTGGTTCCTTTTTATCTTAAGAGTTTAAATATGGAAAAATGTTATCGATTTGTCCTCAAAAGGGGATGCCCACTTGTTGTTCCACCAAATTTTTCAGAACTATATAACATGGGAAAAATTATAATAGGCACGAAGTATTGCGCTAACTTTAATTTTTTCTAACTTCTTTTGGTTAACAACTGATCCGTGCGCCATGGAATTATTAAAAAAAAACGCGCGCGCAAAACATTCGGTTGTGATGTCGCCATTTTCGTGTACATTTTCGTGTACAACAAAGGCAAGCGTTTGTGACATAATTTTTNATTTACTTAAGATTAACGGGGGAGGGGGTGGGGAGGAGGAGTATCAAACCATGATTTTAAGTGGTTTCTTATGAAGACAGTATGTGACTAACTTGCAGCAGAATAACACGACTTCAGTTACTAACTACGTTCTTTACCCATAACACAATACAGCTGACTGTCGGCTTCGCGGCCGCTGGCAGGGCATGTACATACAAGAATACAAGACCGTTATAAGGTTATTGTGTTATGCTGAGTCAGCGGTTTGGGTGGAAGGGATTGCTAGCACGCTAAAAGCTCTCCTATCTAAGTATAAACTTGTTATTTTGATTTGCAATGATCTTAATTCGATGAATGAATACTTACAGTCGCGCTCTATCTCCATGTTGGCTTGAAGAATCTGGCTAAACGCTGCCTTGCCATTAGGATTAGGAATGTTGGGTAATCCGGAGGTGATCACCCAAGGACTGGAAACCAGGCACAAGAGCAGGGCGGCCCACAGCTGGGAAGGCATTCCTGGAAAGAACGCGAAGGTAAAATCACTCAAATTTGTAATGAAAGACACATGTTGAATTCTGGCACTTGCTTGATTAATTTACAGCGAAAGGCGCTTGCCTGTTGTCACTGGCTAACGTTTTGTGATGGTTTCCCAAACATATTTTAGCCAATCAAAGGGCCAATGGCTGCACGTGAAATAAAATTATCGAGCACTTCACTTAGCTGCCTTGGGTCTCCGCCCCCACCCCTCCCCACAAGACTAACACGGGTTTTGATTGGCAAAGCAGCGAGAAAACCATCACAGTTTCATTAACTATCATACAACATTAATAAATCAAATAAAACCTTATGGATTAGAAACGATAGAATTTGCGCTTTTAGCTTTGCACCTTGGTTCGAAAACAAAGTACTACATGCAGTGTTTGAGTTACGCAAACTCTTTTCACAAGAGCTTGTTGAAACATGAGCATTTGAAATAATGGTCCGTGTTCCTGGGCTTTTCTGTTTTGCTTTCGATTTTATGAATCAAATCATAACCGAGGTAGCCAAAGAAACGAATCGCTTCCATATAAAATACCTAGTTTTCGATATCGTGCATATCATATATATCAAATATTATCTTATATGAACAACAACATATTTAAATTCCCGACAAGGTTTTGTCTCGATCGCCAGCCAATAAACTTGACTACGATAGCCGAGTAAATTGTGCTTAACTTCCAGAAAGCCGTTGTGTTTAGATAAAGAAATTATCTATCAATTCAATGACGTAAAATAATGACAAATTAATACAAAGGTCCCCATACCTGTTCTGTCAAATGCAGGTCACGCGTATTTCTGTAACGTCTTCTGCTAAAAGATAACGAAGGTATACACTAAACTTTGTATTATCAAGAACTTTGGAAAAAGGCCGCTTTTAACAGATACGAACATCTGATCCTTTTCCAAAATTGGTAACAAGGGAAAAATCAATTACATGGGAACATGATGACCTTGAATGGCCGTAGAACATAGTTTCCGTTCACCTTAATTTTGTGGCATGGGTGGGAAACCCACCCCCTTGTGAGTCACTCTCTACTATCCGGCTCTCCGGCTCTATTCACCAATATTTCTAACATTCGGGTATAGGAATGTGTATGTAACAAAACTATGCGCTACCCAGCACTCTTTCCTTCCACAAAGCAAACCAAATGTGTCATATTTTTAATTTTTATTTGTTGGCACTTTCCTTGAAGACCTTGACATGTGGGAGGACGGGTGCTGATTTCAACTTTTGCGTCACGTCTGAGAAATGCAGTGTGTGTCACATCCGAAACGGAGCGCCCCCGGTATTGGAAATTTACGGTTTCGATTGAAATTCAGACTAGAGGTTAGAAATGCCCGCTAAATTGAAGAAGTAAGGAAAATTACATTCGTCACGACCTGGAGGACAACCGGCATGGTCACAGATTGTACATGGTGATACAATCAAAACTACATCAGGCTCCGTAGTGTAGGTGGTCTGCTGTAAATCGATTACAAATGATTTAGTTTTGATAAAGAGAAACTAAGTTG